CCCAGCTCCTATTTTGGCTGGAAGATGCAGCCTTGACCTCTGCATGCTGGGTTCTCCTCTCTTCCACCTTGACCTCCTGTCTTATCCAGTCTTTCCCATTCCCTATACAGTCTGCAATCACTGTTTCCTCAGCTCCCATTTCCTCCACTCCTGCCCTCCTCTCAGTCTGTTTCTCACTATGGCTCCCCTCATGCTGGTTGTCTGTGTCTTTCTCTCTAATGATCGTGGTAAAAAGTGGTCATTTTCTGCTCACTTCAGACACAATGAGAAAGGAGGCGATGAGGAAACACATTCAGTCTCCAGCCCTAGTATGGTGACCCCTCCTTCATCTGCTCTTTGCCCTCTTGTTCCCTTTCAGGGACTCTTCACAGCACCCCAGGAAAAGCAATGCCCCATGGACACTCTCGCCCTGACTGCTTGCTGCTGCCGAGTCTGTGCCTTCCCTGGGCTTCCTGGGTGATTGTCCCCCTCACCTCGACAGTGACTCCCACGCTACTCTAGCTTCTGAATGAGCCGTTCTGCCTCCCACCACCCTTAACACACACTCAGAAGCAGAAACCAAGGATCAGAGAAGGCCTGGCATATGTCACATGACTGGACCAGGACAGGTAACTTTAGTCCCATTGAGTTCTTGTATTCCTCCATTTCACACTGACTTCCGGCTGCCTTCTTGGTACAGCCTCTGAACTCCTGTCAAGGCCATGGATCTGCTGCTGGGCTCCCAGGAGGCTGTTCCCACATAACACTTGAGTGATTCCATCCATCTGTGGCTGTTCTAGAACCTTCTTTGTATGAAGTGGGAAAGAAGGCTCAGAGCAGCAGTGCGTCATTTTGATAAATTGCCTGGGACATCTCTGGGGTGTATGTGTGAGAGGTGGGGACAGAGGCTGTGGTGTGCTCAGGGCTGGTTCTGTAGGAGGTCGTCCCACCCTTTCTCATGACCAGGTGTCATCAGTTTCCTTAAGGGCAGGAAGATGTGATTGGACCAGAGGAAGTGGCATCATTCTCCCAGAGTGACGTGTGCAGAGGCAACTTCCCATTCCCTTAGATCTCCTGGCACTGACTGCCTTCTCCATGTTCCCCTCAGGTGACTATGCAGCCACCCTCTGTCATGTCTGCTTTCTCTGCCTTCCTCACAGTCCCCATGGTCCTCTGATACAGGCACCAGCTCTTATGGCCTCCCTTCCAGCTGCACATGGAAGCACTTCTGTACCCATCCATCACTGGAGACACTGAGCTCACAACCTTTGGGATGGTTTAGGACCAAACAGTCCATCAGTCGGGAAAGGGGACTGGGCCTATCATGTCTGTCAGAAAGTCCACCCTTATTGGATAGGGTCTCATGTAGCCTAGGCTGGGCCTTGAACTTGTTATGTAGCCGAGGATGACTACTGAGCACACTGGGCAGGTAAGCACTCTTCCAGATGAACCTAGTCTTTAGTCTCAGTGAGGAGTGAGAGGGCCCTCCTGATCCTATGTACTCATCTCCAGGTTTCATCTGGCCTTGCTCTACTGTCTAGGGTGTGTGGGTGAGGGTCACCCCATTTCTAAGTCTCTCAAGGAAGGCCTGGGGCCGATGACGTTGCCATGTACCAGCTGCTGGTCTCCAGCATTTTTGTACACTGTTGGTCCTTCAGGATCTCAGCTGTCCCTGTGTTCAGCCTCACTGCTGCCACCTGCTGGCCCCTCAATCCCAAATCTTAAACTCTGTTCTAATTTCAAGTCCTGGACTCAGTTGTTTCCCATAGGGACCCTGCTGTGGGACGATTTCTGTCCAGCAGGCTGTAATCATTTTTCTGTAGTGAGAACCCAGTTTCCCCCAATAGCAGTGACTGGGCCCTGCAGCCATGAAGCTTTCACAGGGGAGGGGCACTTTCTGTGGAAGAGTAGCCTGGGGCTGTGGTGTGCACACATGGGGCTTTTACATACATGTGATCGTGGGGAGTGTCAGACTGCAGTGTTAGAACCTGGCTGCTGCTCAGGCTGTAGCACAAGTGTGCCCTGCACCCACAGAATAAATAAGTGTAATTTTAAGAGCTAAACATAAAGTGGGCTAGGCGTGGTGGTGCATGCCTTTAATTCCAGCTTGGGGAGGCAGAGACAGAGGCAAACATGAGTGGATCTCAGTGAGTTTAAGGCTGTCCTAGTCTATTTATCACATTCCAGGCCAGCAATGGCTATGTAGATTTTGTCTCATAAAACCAAAACAAACAAAAGAACAAACAAAGAAATAAATCCAAGGTAAATGTGTCCCTAGTAGTAATGCCCGAGTTTGTCCGCTGGCCTCCACATAGGGAAGCTCACACGTGCACACATGTGCAGCTGAATACAGACACAGACACGTCATGCAGGGAGACACCCATAGCTGATGTGCCCCACATGTCTATCCAGTCCTCATCCTGAGTAAACATGGCCTCCGCAGGCCAGCCTCTGTGACTCTTCAGACTCCAGTTCCTGATCGTGTCCCCAGCAATCAGACCCTGATTTTATACCTGGCTGTGTTTTCTCATGACAGTGATGGCAGAGAATAGACTCAACCATTCCTGTTTGTGTGCAAACAATCCAATTCCAGAAACTTCCTTCAAATAACAGTGAAGGGCAGATTGGCCCCACCCCAGCAGACAACTCATAGATGAAAACTGTCCATCTGTCCACCTATCTGTCATACCATCCACTCTCCCACTCCTTGAATTCTTTTCCCCAGGGACAACTAATGCAGCCCAGAAGGAACCCAGAGTAGCTGGCCAGACTTGGTCCTGAGGAGAGTTGAGAGGATGCTAGAGAGAGGGTGGAAGATGATGACCTGTGGTGTAGACAGGACACTCAGGCTGCACTAGGACATTACGGGAGCATAGATGCCCCACCCCCATCTGACCTCTTTTTTCTCCCCTAGGATGACATCATCATCTTCATCTTCCTCATGTGCTGCCCAACTTCAGCAGGAGCAACTCCTTGAACCCCTGTGGAGGGGAGCCCCAAGAAGAGACTCTATACTGTGTCCTAAATCCAGTGAGTGGTGGGTTGAACAGCTCAGTCACCTACTGCTCTCGATGAAGTCTCCCAGATTCTGCAGATAACCAAGGCAGAGGAAGGAACTCACATGTCATTGGGTTTGAGGTCACAGAAACTGAGAAACTGTCAATCTCCTCTTCAACTTCCTATATTGCTTAAATGAAGCTATTAATAGTCACATAATTTATTTCATTGAATCTAACGGAAAACTGGCTATGTCTTCAACTTCTCTGTCTCCAACCAAAGTGAACTAATGGATTACCTGCCTCCAGGACCTCTCTGTACTGTCTGGAGTTTTGGTTAACTTTGCTTTGTTGATTTCAAGACAGAGTCTCATTTTTCCCAGGCTGGCTTCATACTCTATAGGTACTAATAATAACTTCCAATTCATAATCTTGCTCTTTCTACCTGTCATTCATTAGGATTACAGGCTTTTGCCACTATGCCCGGATTCCTTTAGTACTTTTTGTTCCTGACTGGCCCTGACTAGGGAACAAAAATCTCCAACACTGGTAGTCTGGTTAGACTCCATGTCTGCTCCAATTCAAACAGTCATGGTTCCTTCACCCTGAGGGAATTTGACCTAAATGTTACTGAGAATGTTGTTTCTGTGTAAGTCTTTGCTGTGGGCCCCTTTGCTGTTCCTCCATTTTGAACAAGGGAAACTTACATGGCAATTCACGTGATCACTGGAGTAACATCCATGAGGTCCCTTCTCTGTGCCCAGCTGCCTGAATGGAGGAGATGAATCATGCTTTAGATGACTAGACAGATGGTTATCATGGTATCTTGCTATGTGAACACCTCAGGGATGCTCAGGGAAGACACCACCCCAGCTGCCAAGATCACTGTGACCACGGCTGCTGCTGAGTTCAGCCTCAGAGTCTTGGATCCAGCTACACCACAGCAGACATGTCACAGCTGCCCCAGGGGACTCTACTTTAGTCATGAGTAGCCTTGGTGTCTTCTCTATCACCCATCCATCTGCAGATAGTTCCATGGGGATGGGACAGTTTTCCAATGACTCAGAAAAGGCCCCTGATTGATACACATTTGAGACTTGTCACTGATGGAATAAGAGCTGCATCTATGCAGGGCTGTGATTGGTGGATCTGAATCGTGCATGCCTGTCTTAGGGTTTCTATTGCTGTCAAGAGACACCATGAGCATGGCAACTCTTACAAAGGAAATAATTTGGGATGGCTTCCAGTTTCAGAGGTTTAGTTCATTATCTTCATGGTGGGACATGGTAGCATGCAGGCAGACATGGTGCTGGAAAAGGAGCTGAGACTTCTCCGTCTGAATCCACAGGTGACACGAAGACAACAGTATCTCCAGTAAGTGCATCCCGAGCATAGGACCTAAAACCCACCCCCTCAATGACTCACTTCCTCCAACAAGGCCACACCCACTCCAACAAAGCTATGCCTCCTAATAGTGTCACTCCCTATGGGCATATGGGGGCCAACTACAGCCACACTGCCAAATGCCCATGCACCACCTCTGGCTGTGAGAGCAACCTGGATTTCATCCTTAATGTTCAGTATGGATGCTGTCCTTATGTCCCAGCATGCTCTTTGGTAGAAGCTGACACACTGACTATCAAACGTTAAGACAGATTAGACTTGGGAAGGAAGTCTTGTCCTAGGGGAGACCCCACAGGTCAGAACATACACATGGCAGGAAATAAGGAAAGTGAGGGCTTATAGATGGGCCTGTGAGGAAAGGAAGCCCAGCATGGGACCCAAGCAAGCCATGGTCTTGTCACCTGAGGAGGAGCATGGAGTGGCCAGGGCCTGTGACTGAGATGTCAGTGTCCAGGGAGAACAGGAGAGAGGAACAGGGTTCTCATGCAGTGGTTCTCAGTGTGGACCATGGTCCCTGCCTCTCTCAGTGTCCCTGCTCCTGGACATAATCTGCTTTTCTGTAAGGTCTCATGTCTGTGTGTTGGGCTGCATTAAGAGAGACATGAGATCATGCCTTGGAGGAAGACATTTATTAAAAATGGACAGATAGGTAACAGCATAGTTGGGATCTCAGGACCAGAGCCCGACAAATTCACTGGATTCCTAGGAAAGGAAGTCAGAGCACGCATGGCAGGAGTGAGGTTCTCTTCTTGCACCTGTCCATGGACGGATGTTTCACAGCACAAGCCTGTAGCCCTCCTCTCTGATTCCCAGGCCATGGTCAGGGAAGGGGTTGAGATGCAGGATGTGTGGCCACCAATTCCTACTTTGATGGAAACTCACCACCCTGGTGAGCGATGCTGGCCCCTGGAGTTCTGTTAGCTGGGGACTAACAGAAAGTTTTGTGCCTAAGAAGGAGAGGACAGATTTCCACAGTCAGTTTTCTACTTGCACAATTTGTGTCCCCAAAATGAACTCAGGCCACTGGGCTCGGCTGCAGACACCTATTCCCACTGAGCTCTCTTTCTGCTCCCCACTTTCTTTTGTCCACTGGGCTCGGCTGCAGACACCTATTCCCACTGAGCTCTCTCTGCTCCCCACTTTCTTTTGTCCACTCTCTCAGCTGCAGACACCTATTCCCACTGAGCTCTCTTTCTGCTCCCCACTTTCTTTTGTCCACTGGGCTCGGCTGCAGACACCTATTCCCACTGAGCTCTCTCTGCTCCCCACTTTCTTTTGTCCACTGGGCTCGGCTGCAGACACCTATTCCCACTGAACTATCTCTCTGATCCCCACTTTTTTTTTTTGGTCCCTTGAATTCCTCAGGAGCAGGCTGTGTTCATCTGCACTTGATCCTCTAATTTCCAGCTGGGACTCTAAGGAATTAGGAACAGATTCAGTCCTGGGTGGGTTCAGCCTCCTTTCTGTCCTTCTGTTCCCTGTTCTCTGCCCTGCATATGTTTCCTGTGCTGGCTGTTTTTGGCTGTGAACTGGACTGTGTCCGTAATGAGGTATAATCTAGAAACAGAGGGCACACTTGGGATCTGGATCTTGAGGGAGGAAGACAGCATGCATTTGATCCAGACCATGATTCTGGAAGTCACACCTTTCACCTGGGCTACTCCTTCTGTTTTAAGCCGGTGTAAGGACAATGGAAGAGGAAGTGTGTCCTTCACCTGCTTGCCCTCACCTCTGTCACACATTCATTTCTGTCTTCGAGATCCTAGTAGAGCAGCTGAGACACCCAGCCTCGTGGACGGAGCAGCTACTGGGTTCTTGGTCTTTCCATTCACTAGTCATTGTTGGACAACAGCATATAAGTCATTCCAATAAATTAATATATACATATGTATATATGTGCATATATACATGTATACACACATACATACATATATACATATATATGCACACACACATATATAAATACATTCCATAAGTTCCATTACTCTAGAGAACCCTGACTAATACACATACTTATCTTTATGTCCCACAACTGAAAAAACTCAGAGGGATAATACAGGTGAGGCCCTGTCCTGGACCACTCACCTTTGCTTCTATAAGAGAAAGATCATCATCACATAGACGGGGGTTATGAGCACAGCCGTGGCCACCACCACCCCGACCATGGCTCCTATGTTCACAAGTGAAGGATTCTTCTGGCCCTCTGTGTCCTCCAGTCCAGCCGTGGTGACTGCAGTGGTGACGATGGAGGGGCTCTGCATGGTGGTGCTGACTGCTGGGGAGAGATGAGGAGTGAGCAGATCCTCCCTGGATGAGGAGGGATGGGAGGAGTGTCACATCTTGTCTCCTCTGTGGGAGGTGGGATGGGGAGCAGCTGTTAGAAGTTCACAGAGGGGAACGAAAGCTAAAGGCTGAGACTCTAGGAAAGCAAGCTCAGTGCACACCTCCACTTGTCCTGGCTGTGTGTCCTCAGAATTGCATGTAGTCACAGATAATTAAGCTATAGAAATACAGTTGTTTTGGTCATATATGCATGGAACAAGCAGATGTCTCAGTCTGTATCGTGATTGCTCTCAGGAAATTTAGACCCCGAGTTTGATCCCTAGAATCCATTTGAGGAGCCTGGAGAGCTGGGCATGGCCTTTAATCTTAGGCCTAGAGGCAGAGGCAGGCAGATCTATGTGAGTTAAAGCCAGCCTGTCTCTGTATATTTAGTTCCACACCAAACAGAGTTGAGTGAGTTGTGTCCCAGTAAAAGGAGGTGGAGACAGGCATGTCCCTGGGGCTCAGTGGTTAGCCAGCCCTATCTATCTACTTGGTAAACTTGAAGCTAGTGAGAGACTCTGTCTCAGAAAATAAGGGAACTGCTCCTGAATGTTTCCTCTAGCCTCTGAATGCATATGAAGAATTGTCAAAGATTACATATATACATACATACATAAATACAGACACACACACACACACACACACACACACACTCACACCTTAATTAACAGACCCTCATGATCACACACCCAAAATACACAAAATGTATAATAGAAAAAAATAGAATTTTGACAATAGGTGTTCAGTTCAGTACAGGGCAGCATACATAGATCTGCTCTGCAATCCCCACTAAGGTTAATGTCAACATTTATCTATTAGGAAACACTAGACCAACAGTTCCCAACCTGTGGTTTGCTATCCCCACAGTGGTAGAATATGAGATAACATGCAATCAGATATTTACAACACAATTAATAATAATACCAAAATTATAGTTATGAAGCAGCAATAAACATAATTTTATGGTAGAGGGTTCACCACAACATGAGGAACTGTATTAATAGGTGTCTCCATTAAGAAGGTCGAGAATCACTGCTCTAGACCCAGGAAACAGCTCCTTTCTCTCCCTTCCCTGAGTCCTGGCAGCTGCGGTTAGACATTACATCAGGTCTACATGGCAGCCGTAGAGACTGCACAAGACCTGTGCTGTGGGCGTCCTCTCACAGGCTGGCTTTAATCCAGTCAACAGCCACTGCTGAATGTGGTGACTCAGGCCTTTATCTCAGCACCCAGGAGACAGAAGTAACAGGTTTCTGTGAGTTCCAGAACAACCAGCGCTACATGGTGAGACCCTGTCTTATAAAAACCAAAAGGCCAAAATATATAAAAAATAAAGAGCAACATCTCAAGGTTGTGTTCAACAAGGAAGCACACAGAGTCCCCAGTTATTGCAGGACCATTTAAAGGGTGCAGGGGTAATAGAAACATAATGTTGCACACAGTGTTCCCAGTGCATGGGTCTGCAGTTACTTCTGCTTTAGAGGAGAGGCAGGGATCAGAACACAGAGCAGCCACATCATAAAAAAAAGGTGACATTAGTTTCCAAGACCCTTGGGGCTTGTGTGGGAGAGGTAAGGGCAAGAGGGCAAGGAATGGGAGAGGGGAGTTGGGAATGGAAACCCTATAAGGGAGTTGTAGGGAGAATTCCCACAGATTTTCACCTGCTTTGACTCCAGAGTGTTAGCACCTCACCTTAATCTTCCTTTTGTGACTGCTACATTTTGTCCCCTGTCTTCTGTATGTGATCCTTGCCTGAAATTTTTCTGAAGGTGCAAAGCCTATGCAAATTTGGTTGAAGCAGTGCTCAGAACACCTCAGGTATTCTTCATCTGAGGATTTGGGCAGCTTAGATGAGAGGTGTTGGGGTGCATAAATCAACTTGCTAAAAAGTGTAAGTTGGAGAACACTAAAAGGGCCCTCCCTAAGCTACAGGGATCAGTCTGAAGACAGGAAACCCCTGCTGCTAAAAGGGCTAGAATCATCCTTGAGGTGCCTTATCTTTTGATTCTATGAACCAGAGAGTGGGTAGGGAGAGGTGAGGGATGTGTCCTGGGAAGCTAGGACAGGATATAGGGGACTGTGGTGACAGATGGCAGTTTACAGTGGCATTGTAGGACACCAGGAACATCCAGTGGTCACCTACTGCATGTTCTGGGCTTAGGTTGGAGCTGTGTGGAGATGTCTATACAGGGACTAAATCGAGCCCTGACACAGGACCAAGTGAGTCAGCTACATCCTGGAGATGTCAACCCACCTCAAAGTCACAGGGAAGGGGAAAGTGACCTGAACTGCAGGGTTAGTTTGGCCAGAAAGGGGGTGAACTAGAGGGAAGGTCTCATGCTGAGATCTAGAGTGTGGTGGGGTTCCATCTGAGCAGAGGGTGACAGACAGGTCAGAGGACACAGCAAAGACTTGTCACAACCACAGTGGAAAGATCCTGTGTCAGAGCCAAGGAAAAGGAATTTTAAACCAAGGTCAGAATTGTGGAGCCTGAGGTGACAACTAGGGGACAAGGAAGCCAGAGGTATCAAAGCCTGAGCCAGGGTGGCTCACCAGGAGTGACGGTAAGTTGGGTCCCATTGATCGACTGAAAATGCTCCATGCGATTTGTCATTTTCAGATGAACTCGGCAGAAGTACACTGTCTGGTCCTTCTCCTTCAAGTCCAGAATTCTGAGGACTCCTGATGTCTGAGGCTGTGTCCAGTTCAGGATGAGCCGGTCCTTGAAATGCTCGTGTATGAAATCCGAGGAAGAATTGTAGATATATTCCCCATGGAAGTCCTTCCATCTCCAGAGAATCCTCATCTGTGGATCCTTTGCCAACACCCAACGGAAGTAGAAGGAGAAGGGGATCTCGATGGAGCCGCCCTGGACACCAGAGAGGCGTGCTGGTAGGATGACCCCAAAAGTACTTTCTCTGTTGGATCCTGCTGTGTTCCCTGAGAAGGATGGGGAGAATCTGAAGCCACTTTAGGGGTGGAATGGACAACCCAGAGCTTCCTGAGCCATCACCCATAGAAAGGTGTGGGACACAGGGAAGGGCTGTCCCTATGTCCCACTGTTATATATGGGACAGGACAGATGGGGAAAGGTAGGGTGGACCAACTCTGAGGGTGAGCTTTCTCTTGTGGCACATAGGACAGGCTGCCTCCTAGAGCAGTCACCTCCTCAAATGCCAGCCGACTCTTCCCAGCCCCACTAACCCCTCCTGTGGTTACGTCCCCAGTAGTGAGGTTCCCACCACTCACCAGCTTGCAGGCAGGCTGCTGGCAGCAGCAGAAGCAGGACCCAGACTATGTCTGCAATCCGTACAGTAAGAGAGACCAGCAGAGCCATCAGGAGGGAGAATAGATCCTTTGGAGGGTTGTTGGGGTGGTCAGGATTCAGGTGACAATCAGATCAAAAATGATCCTCATCCCCTGGGCCGTATGTGGAGGACTGAGTGGGGGCAGGCCCTCCTCATCTCCACCTCCTCGTGACCAGCAACTTTCTTTATCATTCTGGCTTCTTCTTCCCCTTATTGCAGAAGATCCGCCCTTGTGGTAACTGAGAAAACGACTGTGCCCTTGAGCCCAGCCCCCATTTTTTTTTTTTTTTGCTGGATGATACAGCCTTGACCTCTGCATGCTGGGCTCTCCTCTCTTCCACCCTGACCTCCTGTCTCATCCAGTCTTTCCCATTCCCTATGCAGCCTGTAATCACTGTTTTCTCAGTTCCCATTTCCTCCACTCCTGCCCTCCCCTCAGTCTGTTTCTCACTATGTATCCCTCATGTTCTCTCTCTCTCTCTCTCTCTCTCTCTCTCTCTCTCTCTCTCTCTTTCTCTCTCTCTCTCATAATCACAGTTAAGGGATTGATCATTTCCTGCTCACCAGAAACTATGAGGAAGGAGGTGATGAGGAAACACATTCAGTCCCAGTCCTAGCTTGATGCCCCCATCATCGTCTGCTCTTTGCACTCTTGCTGCCTGTCAGGGACTCCTCACAGCAGCCCTGGAAAACTAAGGCCCAGTGGACACTCTCGCCATGGCGCTTGCTGGAACTTCTCTGTGATTCCAGGTAAAGCATAGACTAGTCTCCCTCACCTTGACAATGACTCCAGAGCTACTCCAGGTTCTGAAGGAAAGTTTTTGCCCCTGCCACCCTTAACACACACTCAGAGGAGGAAACCAAGGGTCAGAGAAACCCTGGTACATGTCACATGACTGGCACACGGCAGGTGACTGGACTTCAGTCCCACTGACTTCTCCTACTCTCACTCTCCACACTGACTTCCAGCTGCCTGCTCGGTGCAGCCTCTGAGCTCCCCTCAAGGCCATGGATCTGCTGCTGGGCTCCCAGCAGGCTGTTTCCACAGAGCACTTGAGAGACTCCCTCTAGCTGTGGCTGTTCTAGAACCTTCTTTGGATGAAGTGAATAAAGAAGGCTCAGAGCAGTAGTGCGTCACTCACATCATATTGCCCAGGACATCTTGGAGAGTGGACACAACTGGTCTGTGATCAGAATGGAGTCATGAGAAGTGGGGGGAGCAGCTGTGGTGGCCACAGGGATGGCTCTGAGAGGATTATCCTATTCTTCCCCATGACAAGGCCCATCAGTTCCCTGAAGGGCATGAGGACGTGATTGGACAAGAGGAAGTGGCATCATTCTCCTGGAGTGACAGGTACCGAGGTGACTTTTCATTTCCTTAGATTCCTGGCATTGATTGCCTTCTCCATGCTCCTCTCTGGTGCCTATGTAGCCACCTCTATCATATCTGCTTTCTCTGCCTTCCTCACAGTTCCCATGGTCCTTTGATCCTGTGACTTGCGCTGTCAGGAGTTAAGGACCTCAGACTCACGGCTACTATGTCAGCTGCACATGGACGCACTTCTGCATTCTTGCACCCTGCCTTTGGAGATGCAGAGGCTGCTGCTCAGGCTGTAGCACGGGTATACACTGCCTCTACAGAGCAAATAAGTAAGTGTAATTTTAAATATTTAACCCCAAGTTGGGCTAGGCATGATAGTTCATGCCTTTAATCTAGCATTTTTGGTGTCAGAGGAAATGGCAAATTGATCTATATTAGTTTGAGGGTCAACTGATCTCTCTCTATATGTATATATATATATGTACATGTATGCAATTATATAAGTATATATGCATATATGTATATATATACATACATTTCCAAGCTCGCAAGGGCTATATAATACAACCTTGTGTCACAAAACAAAGGTAAGCAAGCAAACAAACAAAAAGCAAATAATGAAAATGTAAAACAAAAACAAAAGCAAAAAAAAAAGATGTCTGGTGTCCTGAGGAGTAATGCATGAGGTTGTCCTCTGGCCTTCACGTACATGAACAAACATTTACTTGCACACTCATGCACCTGCACACAGACACACATAATCATGCCAGGCACCTTTCACAGCCAATCTGCCACCACATGTCTAGCCAGTCCTCATCCCGAGTAAACATGGCCTCCCCAGGCCAGCTTCTGTGACTCTTCAGACTCCAGTTCCTTATCGTGTCCCTGATTTTATACCCAGCTGTTTTTTTCCATGGCAGTGGTGGAAAAGAACAGGCTCAATTATTCCTATTTCTGTCAGAAGCATCTAATTCTAGAAACCTTTCTCAAATAACCCTCAGTGCAGGACAAATGGGCCCTGGCCCAGCAGATAACTCATAGATGAAAACTGTCCATCTGTCCACCCTTCCTGTCACAGCACCTACTCTCCCAGGCCTTAGTTTTTCTCCACTGACAACATACAGAGCACAGATGGAACCCAAGTACATTAGACTGGGTGCTGAAGAGAGTTGAGGGGATGCTTCAGAGAGGGTGGAGGATGATGACCTGTGGTGTAGACGGGACACTCAGGCTGCACTAGGACATTATAATAGCACAGTTGCCCCACCCCCATCTGACCTCTTCTTTCTCCCCTAGGATGACATCATCATCTTCATCTCCCTCATGTGCTGCCCACCCTTGGCAGGAGCACCTCCCTGCACCCCTCTAGAAGGGAGCCCCAAAAAGAAACGCTCTACTGTATCCTAAAGGCCCAGTGAGTGGGGCTGGGTGACCAGCTCAGTCTCCTCCTCCTCTGGATAAAGTCTCCCAGCCACTGCAGATAGCCAAGGCCAGAGGCAGAAACTTGTAAGTCGTTGAATTTGAGGTCACAGAAACTGAAAAACACAGTTCCTTTTTTAACATTATATTGCTTAAAAAAATCAAAACACAACAACAACAGCACAAACACAGGTCCCAAAACTATTTATGGTGTTGAAATTAATCTGTGAATCCAAACAGAAAAAAATGGTGTCTGTTGTATAATATTTTGCTTGTGTTCTGACAAATAAAGCTTGCCTGGAGATCAGAGGACGTAGCTAGCCACTAGTTAACCACAGAGGCCAGGCAGTGGTAGCACATACACACACCTTTAATCCCAACACGTGGGAAGAAGTAGGAAGATCAGGAGTTCAAGGCTACTCTGGGCTATGCAAGATTGAAGCAATCTAGAAGAGAAATAGAGTCAGGAAGTGGTGGCTCAGGAACATTTGATGCCAGCACTTGGGATATCAAGCTTTTGATTCCAGCATGGGGGAGTGAGATGGGAATCTAAGGCAGGTGGAGATAGAATCTCCCCCATTTGGTCTGAGGATTCATAGAGGTAAGAAGTCTCTGGGAGCTGGCTACTCTGTTTACTGATAAACTTTCATCATAATATCAGGGTTTAATGATTAAGATACTCAGATTAACACTTTAGGTGACATCTTTAAATTGTCTGTCTCCAACCAAAAGCAAACTAATGGATGACCTGCCTCCATGACCTCTCTGTACTGTTTGGAGTTTTGGTTGACTTTGTTGTTCATTTATTTCAAGACAGGGTTTCATGTAGCCCAGGCTAGCCTCAAACTCAACAGGTGCTAAGGAAAGCCTCCAGTTCATGATCTTCCTCTTACCTGTCTGTGGTTAGGATTACAGACATCTGCCACCATGCCTGCATTCCTCCCGTACTTCACTTACTGACTGGCTCAGGCCAGGGGACACAGATCCTTCACCCTAAGGGAATTTGACCAGGGGTTAAACACCTAGATGTCAGTTCTGTGTAAGTCTGTGCTGTGGGCCCAATTGATGTATCTCACTTGTGAACAATGGGAAGGGACATGGTGAGTCACATGACCACAGGAGTAACAGCTTTGAGGCTCCTTCCTTGTGTCCAGCTGCCTGGAGCACGGACTGGGGAACGAACCCTCTGTTATATGTCTGGGCAGTCAATCATCATGGATTCCTATTGTGTGAAAACCTCAGGGATGCTCAGGGGAGACACCACCCCAGCTGCCAAGATCACTGTGACCACGGCTGCTGCTGAGTTCAGCCTCAGAGTCTTGGATCCAGTTACACCACAGCAGACATCTCACAGCTGCCCCAGGAGACTTCTGCTATACCCTTGTTGGATTTCAACCTTATAGGTCAGTGTGGATGCTATGTTTATGTCCCAGCATGCTCTTTGGTAGAAGCTGACACACTGACTATCAAATGTTAAGACGACTGGACTTGGGAAGGAAGTCTTGTCCTAGGGGAGTCCCCAGAGGTCAGAATATCAACATGGCAGGAAATAAGGAAAGTGGGTGCTTGTAGATGGGCCTGTGAGGAAAGGAAGCAAAGGTCTATCACCTAAGGAGGGTCATGGGGGCGATTGGACTGTGGCTGAGATGTCAGTGTCCAGGGAGAATGGAGAGAGGAACAGGGTTCTCAGGCAGTGGTTCTCACTGTGGACCATGGTCCCTGCCTCTCTCAGTGTCCCAGCTCATGACACAATCTGCTGTTGTCTAAGGTCTCACATGGGATGTTAAGAGAGACAGGATATGCATTGCTGAGAGGAAGTCATTTATTAAAAATGTTATTAATTCCATGGACAGATAGATAACAGCACAGTTGGGATCCCAGGACCAGAGACAGACAAATTGACTGGGTTCTGAGGAAAGGAAGTCAGAGCGCACATGACAGAAGTGGGGTTCTCTTCTTGCACCTGTCCATGAATGGGATGTTTCAAGCACAGCCTTCAGCCCTGCTCTCTGTTACCAAGGCTTGGTGAGGGAAGAGGTTGAGATGCAGGATGTGTGGCCAGCAATCCCTACTTTGATGGAAACTCACCACCCTGGTGAGCGATGCTGGCCCCTGGTTTTCTGGTAGCTGGGGACTAACAGACAGTGCTGTGCTAAGAAGGAGAGAACAGTTTTCTGTAGTCAGCCTTCTACTTGTCCCCTTTAGGTCTCCCCGAATGAATGCAGGTCATTGGTCTTGGCTGCAGACACCTTCTCCCACTGAACTATCTCTCTGCTCCCCACTTTTCTTTTGTCCATTAATTTGTAATTTTCAAACCCTTCATTAAAAATAAACATAGAAAATGCCACAACCTTGACTTATGCCCTTGAAGAATCCACATTATTCTTTATGACATGGTTTCTTATTGGCCTGGAACTCAGCTATTACGCTAGACTAGCTGGACAGACACAGCTCCACGACTCTATCACTTGCTTGTCCAAAGAGGGATTACATATTTCTGTCACTCTACTGGTTTACAGTGTGGGTTCTCCAAATGAGATGCAGGTCCTCCTACCAGTGTGCAAGGGTTTCTAACTCAACCATCTCTCTAGCTCCCTTGCATGCCTCTCATAACAAACTTCCTCAAGCAGCCCCTCACATGCTACCTGGGATGACAGCCGCTCACCTGGCTGGGGTTTCAGCTTTAGTCTGCTGGCCTGTAGGAGAAGAACCAGTGTCAGTGTGGCAGCCATGCTGATCCTCTGTCTGCCTCTCAGCTGTTCTCTATGTTCAGAAAACATTAGGGGCCGAGGACAGCAAACCAATCAGCCAATCAGCAGCAGCCAATCAGCGAGAGGACTGAGATTCTCAGGGACCTGAAGCCTGTCCTCAGCTGTCCTTTTGCACAGCTCAGCCAATCAGAGGACAGCTCTCCTGTCCACTGCCCCTTGTCCATGTCCTTCTCCCTTTGCTTCTTCCCCTGCCTTGAACTCATGTCCCTTCCCTGTTCTCCCTGCTCTGCACTCACCAGGCCTCCTTTTGTCTTCCTCGAACCTGGTTCCCTGGCTTCCCTGTTAGTGCAGCTACTGCTCCCTGAAGATTCAGTCTCAGGGTTCAAATCCCAGTCAGACTTCTGCTGCCCCCCAGACTGCTGCTCTCCACCTCTCAGCTGCTCTTCTTATCCATTGCAGGGCTGAGCCCTTCTGAAAACCAGGGCCTGCATGTTCAAGTCTGAATTTCTGGGCTTTCCACTATCTGCTCATCTCTGCTCCTGTCCTGTAGTCTTCTTACCATGGATTTAAGTTTGCTCTAAATCCAGTCCACGCTTTATTTTTATTTTATGTGTATCCTAGCTCTTGTGGAAGCCAGGCTGACATTCAACTTTCTATGTAGCTTCAGTTTAGCTTGAACTCTTAATTCCCCCTGTGCACTTCCCAATGCTGGAATTAGGGTGTCCCCTACTGTGTTCCCATATTTGTTTCTTAGAATCCTTTTGATTTAGAAAACAAAACATTTGTCTTTACAAAAAGGCAGTTGGGATTTGAATAGTCACTTATTGACTTTTTAGACTGTTTCTCATTGTAAGGAGTTATTGTATAAAATAACATTTTCTATTATGCAAATATTCTTACATATTTTGTATTTTCCTACTTCTTATAAATTTATTTTGTAAAAAAAATTTATTTTGTGCAGTACATATATGTATGTGTAGATTTGCATACGTACACACGCATGTGCGTGGTAGAGGACAACCTTGGGTATCATCCTGTAGGAGCTGTCCACTATAGCTTTGGGGACAGGTCTGTCCTTGACTGGGGTTCACTGATTGAGCAAGCCTGGCAGCACAGTGAGCCTCATGGATCCTGTCGTCTCTTCCTGTCCAGTATCTGCCAATGTAGTCAACATTACCTGTGAATCCTGGGGATTGAACCCATGTTTTTGTGTTTGTGGGGCAAGCACTTCACCAACTGAGCCGTCTCCTGGCTGCTCTGTATTTTCTCTCAGCAGTGTGTCATTTTTAGGGTACAAATCTTTCACCTCTCTTAGTGTAGGCTCTTCCCAGCCATTTTCTTTTCACCTGTGGTCTATTGAACACTGTCGTTTAATTTCTGTATAGATACCATATCCCCAACACATGCAGTTCTCTCTGTTCATGGTCTCACTTCCTGTGAGATGCTGTCCCTGAAGGCTCCTCTACCTCAGACCTTGTTTTGCAGCCCAGCTCTTTCCAAATGAGCAGTTAGCCCCTGGGGCTATGCAGCTACTCAGTTGTTGGTCCTTCCATTCACAGTTAGTCACTGTTGGATGGCAGCCATAAGTCATTCCAATAAATTCCCATATATTTATTATATATTCAAAATATATTTCATTATACATTTATACATATATTCATTCCATAAATTCTGTGACTCTAGAGAACCCTGAATTTACCTATCTCCATGTCCCACACTGTCAAACTCAGAGGTAAGCTCAGGTGAGAGCCTGTCCTAGACCACTCACCTTTTCTTCCACCAGAGGAAGATCAGCATCACATAGACGGGGGTTATGAGCACAGTTGTGGCCACCACCACCCCAATAATGGCTCCTATGTTCACAAGTGAAGGATTCCTCTGGCCCTCTGTGTCCTCCAGTCCAGCTGTGGTGACTGCAGAGGTGACGATGGAGGGGCTCTGCATGGTGGTGCTGACTGCTGGGGAGAGATGAGGAGTGAGCAGATCCTCCCTGGATGAGGAGGGATGGGGTGAGTGTCACATCTGTCTCCTCAGTGGGATGTGGGATGGAGACCAGCTGTTAGAAGTTCACAGAGGGGAACACATGCTGAAGGCTGAGACTCCAGGAGAGCAAGCTCAATGCACACCCTCCACCTGTCCTGGTTGTGTGTCCTCAGATATTCATCTTGTCACAGATAGCTAAGCAATGGAGACACAGCTGTTTTGTTATAAATGTAGGAAACACACGGTTATCTCAGCCTGTAGAGTGTTTGCTTCCAGAACTTAGAACCCGAGATTCATTTCTAGTATCCATACAATGAGCTGGGTGAACTGGACACAGCCCTTATAATAACCCTAGGGGCAGAGGCAGGCCGATTTCTTTCAGTTAAAGCCAGACTATTTATATATAGAGCTCCAGATCAAACAGAGCTGATCGAGTTGTAATCCCTGTAATGTCCAGGCAGAGACAGGCGTGTTCGTGGGGCTCACTGGTCTCACAATCTAGCCTACTTTGCAAATATGAAGCCAGTGAGAGACCCTGTCTCAAAAAATAGGGTGGATGGCACCTGAAGTTCTTCTCTAACCTCCGCATGCACTGAACAAGTGTGCACACACATTCACACACACACACACACACACAACTGAATTTCCAGACCCACATGATCACACACACAGAATACATAAACCGTATCACAGAACATATATAATTTTAGCCAGAAGAGTACAGCACAGCCCATGGCAGAGGACACTCATTTGCTCTACAAGCATCACTATCGTTAATTTCCAAAAAATTTACCCATTTGGAAATTCTATACCCGCAGTTCTCAATTTGTGGGTCCATAAGCCCACAAGGATCCCATATCGGATATTCTACTTATCATATATTTATACTATAATTCATAAGAGTAGCAAAATTACAGTCATGAAGTAACAACAAAATAATTTTATGGTTGGGGTCACCACAGCATGAGGGACTGTATTAAAGAGTCTCTCTGAATTAGGAAGGTTTAGAACCCCAACTCTAAACAATGAGACAGTTCCTTTCCCTACGCTGAGCCCTGGAAGCTGCCTTTTGACATTCCATCAGGTCAACATGGCGGCCGTAGAGACTGCACAGAGAACTGGGCTGCAGGCATCCTCTCACGGGTTGGCTTTAATGCAGTCAACAGCCACTGCTGGATGTGGTGGCACATGGCTCTAGTCTCAGCACCCGGGAGACAGAGAGGCAGGTAGATTTCTCTGAGCTCAAGGCCAGACGTAGCGAATTTAGGGACAGGCAGGGCTCAAGCATGAGAACCTGTGTTGTGAAAACCATATATACACACACACATACACACACATACATACATAAATACATACATAACCCTGGAGCAAGACTGTGATCAACAACAGAGCAGGTAGACTCCCTCACCTCCAGGGTTGCCATGTATAGAGTTTCACCAAGACAAGGCTCAGTGTGCATGGGCCTGAAGTTACTTCTGCTTCTGAGGGGAGGCCAGGATGAGAGGACAGAGCAAACATGTCCATGATATTGGAGACATTAGTTTAAAAATCCTTGGTGCTTTTAAGGGAGAGTAGAGCAATGGAGGAGAAAGGGGAGTTGGAGATGGAGAGGAGACGTGGAGTGGGTAGGGAGAGGTGAGGGATGTGTCCTGAGGATTTAGTAAGGGAAATGGGGAACTGTGGTGGCGTGTAGCCATTCATAGTCAGTCCAGAGGACACCAAGAACATCCAATGTGCACTTACTGTTTATTCTGGCCTTAGGTTGGCATGGTGTGGAGATGCTCTATACGGGGACTAACTAGAGGCGTGACATAGGACCAAGTGAGTCAGGTACATCCTGGAGAAGTCAGTCCACCTTGGGGTCAAGGGAGGGGGAAGTGGGCAGGACCCCAGTGTTAGTTTGGGTCAGAAAGGAGGTGAACTAGGGGGTAGGACAGAACCTGGAGCCAAGAGAGGGGTGGGGTTCCCTCTGAGCAGAGAATGACAGACACGATAGAGGAGACAGTCAAGGCTTGGACACAATTACAGTGGAAAGATCCTGTTGTCAGAGGCCTGAGCAGAGCCAAGGGAAAGGATAAAAAACTTTCTCAGAGCTGAGGACCTGAGGGGACATCTAAGGGACAATAATGCCAGAGACATCAAAGCCACAGCCAGGATGGCTCACCCTGGGTGATGGTGAGTTGGGTTCCATCAATAGACTGCCAACTCTGCACGCCTCTTTTTGTATTCCAATGAACTCGGCAGAAGTACACTGTCTGGTCCTTCTTCTTCAAGTCCAGGATTCTGAGGGCTCCAGATGTCTGAGGCTGTGTCCAGTTCAGGATGAGCCGGTCCTTGAAATGCTTATGTATTAAACCCAAGGAAGAGTGGTAGATCAGTTCCCCATGGAATGTCTTCCATCTCCAGAGAATCATCATCTGTGGAGGCTTTGCCAACTCCCAGGGGAAGGAGAAGTTGAAGGGTATCTCAATGGACTCACCCTGGACACCAGAGAGGTGTGCTGGTTGGTGGACCCCAAAGTAATTTACTCTGTTGAATCCTGCTGAGTTCCCTGGGAAGGATGGGGAAGAATCTGAAACCACTGCAGTGGTTGGAAAGGACACCCCAGAGCTTCCTGAGTCTTCACCCACAGGCAGGAGGAGGACTTGGGGAAGGACTATCCCCATGTCCTACTGCCCAATATGGGACAGGATAGACAGAAAGAGTTGAGCTGGACCCACTCTGAAGATGAGCTCTCTCTTGTGGCTCAGAGGACAGGCTGGTTCCTCTAGCAGTCACCTGTCCACACGACAGCCTACTCATCCCAGCCCCACTCACCACTCCCGTGGTTAAGTCCCCAGTAGTGAGGTTCCCACCACTCACCAGCTTGCAGGCAGGCTGCTGGCAGCAGCAGAAGCAGGATCCAAGCCATGTCCAGAATCCTTCCGGGAAGTGAGACCAGCAGAGCCATCAGACAGTGGAAGAGGCCTCTTGGAGGAACACTAGGTGCTCAGGAGTCAGGAGAGAATCAGGGTAAAGTGACTCACTTTCCCTGGGTCTTCTCATGTGGAGAATTGAGTGGGGCAGGACCTCCCCATCTACACCTCCTTGAGGTCAGCAACTTCCTTTATCATTCTGGCTTCCTCTTTTCAATGTTTTAGAAGTTCTGCCCTTGTGGTCACTGAGAAGATGACTGTGTTCTTGAACCCAGCCCCCATTTTTGGCTGGAACATACTTCTGCATGCCGGCTCTCCTCTCTTCCACCTTGACCTCCTGTCTCATGCAGTCTTTCCCATTCCCTATGCAGCCTGCAATCACTGTTTCCTCAGCTCTCATTTCCTCCACTCCCGCCCTCCCCTCAATCTGTTTCTCACTATGGCTCCCCTCATGCTAGTTGTCTTTGTGTTTATCTCTCTTTCTATCAATCAGTTAAGGGATTGATCATTTTCTGCTCACCAGAAACTATGAGGAAGGAGGTGATGAGGAAACACATTCAGTCCCAGTCCTAGCTTGATGCCCCCACCATCGTCTGCTCTTTGCACTCTTGCTGCCTGTCAGGGACTCCTCACAGCAGCCCTGGAAAACTAAGGCCCAGTGGACTCTCTCGCCCTGGCTGCTCGCTGCTGCCGAGTCTGTAACTTCCCTGTGCTTCTGGGTACGCTATAGACTTGTCTGCCTCACCCCGACACTGACTCCAGAGCTATTTCAGGTTCTGAAGCAAACTTTTTGCTCCTGCCACCCTTAACACACACTTAGAGGAGGAAACTAGGGATCAGAGAAACCCTGGCACATGTCACATGACTGGCACACGGCAGGTGACTGGACTTCTGTCCCACTGAGTTCTCCTAATCTCACTCTCCACACTGACTTCCTGCTTGGTGCAGCCTCTGAACTCCCCTCAAGGCCAAGGATCTTCCGCTGGGCTCCCAGGATGCTGTTCCCACAGAGCACTTGAGAGACTCCCTCTAGCCGTGGCTGTTCTAGAACCTTCTTTGGATGAAGTGAATAAAGAAGGCTCAGAGCAGCAGTGTGTCACTCACATCATATTGCCCAGGACATCTTGGAGAGTGGACACAACTGGTCTGTGATCAGAATGGAGTCATGAGAGGTAGGGGGAGCAGCTGTGGTGGCCACAGGGATGGTTCTGAGTAGGGGTGATGGGGGAGAGTCTTCTGGCTTGGTTAAATAAAGAGACTGCCTTGGCCCTTTAATAGGACATAAAATTAGGTAGGCGGAGTAAACAGAACAGAATGCTGGGAGAAAGAAGCTGAGTCAAGGAGTCGCCATGATTCTCCCACTCCAGGCAGACTCAGGTTAAGATCTTTCCTGGTAAGCCAGCTCGTGGGCTACACAGATTATTAGAAATGGGTTAGTCCAGGTGCGAGAGTTAGCCAAGAAGAGGCTGGAACTAATGGGCCAAGCAGTGTTTAAAAGAATACAGTTTCCGTGTAATTATTTCGGGTAAAGCTAGCCGTGTGGGCGGCTGGGTGCCGGGGACGCAGCCCTGCCACTCTTATTACAACATAGGGTCATCCCACCCTTCCCATGACAAGGCCCATCAGTTTCCTGAAAGGCAGGAAGATGTAATTGTACAAGAGGAAGTGGCATCATTCTCCTGGAGTGACATGTTTAGAGGTGACTTCTCATTTCTTTAGATTCCTGGCATTGACTGCCTTCTCCATGCTCCCCTCAGGTGACTGTGCAGTTGCCTCTGTCATGTCTGCTTTCTCTGCCTTCCTCACAGTCCCCATGGTCTTCTGATCCCATAACTTGAGCTGTTATTGTCATGGACCTCATTCTCATGGCCTCACTGCCAGCTGCACGTGGATGCACTTCTGTATTTGTGCACCCTGCCCTTGGAGATGTAGAGGCTCTGCACCTTTGAGTTGGCCGCAGTCAGGACAACAGTCAGGAAAGGGGATGTGGCCCTGTTGCACCAGTAAGCAAGCCTTCCCTACCCCTTTGTTGTTTGGCATCATAAGTAGACCAGGCTGAGCCTTAAACTGGTTACATAGTCAACAATGACCTTGAACACCTCCAGATCCTCCTCCTCGCTGCCTCCCAAGTGCTGGGGTGACAGATGTGTCCAATTGTTCCCCTTTGTCTCCTGCTGGAGATAGAACCTAGGGTTCTGTGCATGCCAGACAGGTAAGCACTCCACCAGATGAGCTACATCTGTATCCTCAACGAGGCTGAGAAGAAGCCCTCCTGGTCATGAGTGCTCACCTCCAGGCTTCATCTGATCTTGCCTTTTAGTCTGGGGTCTGTGAGTAAAAGTTCACAGATTTCTAAATCACCAAGAGGGGCTAGGCCTCATGAGGCTTCCATATGTTAGGTGCGGTCACCAGCGTTTTTACACAACAGGCTCTGGAGGGGTTTTCAGGATCCCAGTTGTCTCTTATGCTGGCACCTACTGGCCACTAAATTCCAAGCCATAGGCTCTGTTTTAGTTTCAAGTCCTGGACACAGCTGGATCCCCATAGGGACCCTGCTGTGGGATGGTTTCTGTCCAGGATGATGTAATCAGTCTCCTGCAGTGCCAACCTTGTTTCCCCAATAGCAGTGACAGGGCCCTGCAGTCATGATGCTTTCACAGGGGAGGGGCAATTTCTGTGGAAGAACAGCCTGTGGCTGCAGTGTGCACACATGGGGCTTTTTCATACTTGTGACCGTGGGACTGTCAGGTTACAGTATTAGAACCTGGCTGCTGCTCAGGCTGCAGCATGGGTATACACAGCCTCCACAGAACAAATAAGTAAGCGTAATTTTAAATATTTAACTTCAAGGTGGCCTAGGTATGATGATTCATGCCTTTAATTCTAGTACTTTTGGTGTCAAAAGAAACAGCAAATGGATCTGTATTAGTTTGAGGCTGGATTGATCTCTCTATATATGTATGTATATATGTATATGTATGCAATTATATATATATGTATATACACACACACATACACACACATGCACACTCACACACATTTCCAGGCTAGCAAGGACTATATAATGCAACCTTGTGCCACAAAACAAAAGCAAGCAAACAAACAAAAACAAAATAACGAAAATGTAAAACAAAAACAAAAGCAAAAAAAAAAAAACCAAGGTGCCTTGTGTCCTGAGGAGTAACGCATGAGGTTGTCCTCTGGCCTTCACATACATGAGCCCACATTATTTGCACACTCATGCACCTGCACACAGACACAGACAGTCATCCAAGGCACCTTTCACAGCTGATATGCCCCACATGTTTACCCAGTCCTCATCCTGAGTAAACGCGGCCTCCCGAGGCCAGCTTCTGTGACTCTTAAGACTCCAGTTCCTGATCGTGTCCCCAGCATTCAGACCCTGATTTTATACCCAGCTGTGTTTTCCATGACACTGGTGGCAGAGAATAGGCCCAACCATTCCTGTTTCTGTCAGAAGCATCTAATTCCAGAAACTTCCCTCAAATAACCTGCCTTGTAGGCCAGGTAGGCCCTGACCCAGCAGATAACTCGTAGATTAAAACTGTTCATCTGTCACAGCACTTACTCTCCCAGGCCTTAGTTATTCCCCACTGAAAACATTCACAGCCCAGTTGGAACCCGAGTACATTATGTACAGACTGGGTGCTGAAGACAGTTGAGGATCCTAGAAGTGGGTAGAAGGATGGCGGCTGGTGATGTAGACAAGACACTCAGGCTGCAGCTAGGACATTACAATAGCACAGTTGCCCCACCCCCATCTGATATCTTCTTTCTCCCCTAGGATGACATCATCATCTTCATCTCCCTCATGTGCTGCCCAACTTCAGCAGGAGCACCTCCCTGCACCCCTGTAGAGGTAAAGCCCCAAGAAGAGACTCTGTAGTGTGTCTTAAAGGCCCAGTGAGTGGGGCTGGGTGACCAGCTCAGTCTCCTCCTCCTCTGGATAAAGTCTTCCAGCTTCTGCAGATAGCCAAGGCCAAGACAGAAACTTACAAGTCATTGAATTTGAGGTCACAGAAACTGAGAAACACAGTTCCTTTTTTAACATTATGTAGCTTAAAAAAAATCAAAACACAACAACAACAGCACAAACACAGGTCCTCAAAAATATTTATGGTGACAAAATTAGTCTGTAAATCCAAACAGAAAAATGGTGTCTGTTGTATAATATTTTGCTTGTGTTCTGACAAATAAAGCTTGCCTGGAGATCAGAGGACAGAGCTAGCCACTAGTTAACCATAGAGGCCAGGCAGTGGTAACACACACACACACACACACACACACACACACACACCCCTTTAAACCTTTAATCCCAACACTTGGGAAGAAGCAGGAAGATCAGGAGTTCAAGGCCACTCTGGGCTATACAAGATTGAACCAATCTAGAAGAGAAACAGAGTCAGGAAGTGGTGGCTCAGGATCATTTGATCCCAGCACTTGGGATCTCAAGCCTTTGATCCCAGCACAGGGAATTTAGATGGGAATCTAAGGCGGGTGGAGATAGAATCTCCCCCATTTGGTCTGAGGATCCATATAGAGACAGAATTGTAGAAGGAGTGGCAGCTGCTTTCCTAGCATCCGGCCACCCACATGGCTAGCTTTACCCAAAATAATTACATGGAAACTGTATTCTTTTAAACACTGCTTGACCCATTAGCTCTAGCCTCTTACTGTCTAACTCTCACATCTTGATTAACCCATTTCTAATAAGTGTAGCACCACAAGGTGGTGTCTTACCGGGAATATTCTTAACCTGCATCCATCTCGGAGAGGAGAGCTATGGCGACTGCCTGACTTGGCTTTCTTTCTCCCAGAATTCTATTCTGTCTACTCCACCCACCTAAGGGCTGGCCTATCAAAGGCCAAACAGTTTCTTTATTAATTAACCAATGAAAGCAACAGATAGACAATGACCCACCTATATCACAGAATCTCCCCCGTTTGATCTGAGGATTCATAGATGTAAGAAGTCTCTGGTGACTGGCTATTCTGCTTTATAGATTAACTTTCA